GTCATTCGTTAGTGGCCAACCCAGCCTCAAACCGTGACATTGTGTTAACATGGTGCAGTCAGTTCCTCTGCTTTCCCTCTATTTACTTTGCCAAGCAATGTTGCTGTCACCTCTTCTTACAAGACAGGACCTTGGCATTCCTGTTCCACAGAGTCTCTATCAGCAAGAAGCCCAACTCGGTCTTTGTCCCTCCTTTCTTCAAAACCATCACTGCTTCGATACTATGGTTAACAATCTCTTAGATATTTGCTCAAATTACAAGTAATAGATACATGACAGAACTCAGGAGAAAATTGTTATGAAACCATGACAGAAGACAAGCATTTGTAACTAGCATTTGTAACTAGCATTATTTACAACAAACTCTGATAGAAACAAGCAACCAACCAACCACAGAGCAACAAAAAAATACTCCTGTGAGGTTTTACACCATGGTCATTAAAATGCTGGACATTGTTAGAAAGACTTCAGAAAGGTGTTTTTCTACACACTAGTCCAAGCAGTCGCACAGACCGGTGATCACTGGCAACAAGCTCCTACTGATCACAACTTTCCTGTCTATTTGCTCTAAACAATTCACAAATTTTTACAAAGGTAGAATTATACCACAGATTGGCATACTACAGAATGGCTTAAGTATAAGGCAAATGACCTCAGGTTTCTGAGGAAAGCAGAGTTTGCTTTCCAGGTATAGCTGAAATCAGTAAGACATCACGAATGCACAGTTGTCTCCAAAATATGGTGGCTGTGGATCTGGAATACTGGCCTTGCTTCAAATGCAACAAAGATTTTTCCAACAGAAGAAAAGGGAGCGGAAAAAAAAAAGGAATTATTTGATATGAGGCTTTTACATCATTAGTGAACATAAGTCATGACATTAATCAGAGAGAAGCCTAAACCTACTTTTGAACTTGATCAAACAAAGTGAAAGAAATTTGAGCAAGGTGTTTGCTCAGGAGGGGAGAGGGGAAAGTGTTGCAAGGACTGAAGAACTCAGGAGAAGGACACCATGTTTGCCACCTCCTAGCTTCAACAGAAGTGAACTCATCACACACACCCTCTGCAGGAACATCCTCTGCCAATGACTGCTGTTCCTGGTGCAAACCTCCCACTGACTTCAATGGGAACCACACAAAGCTAGGGAAGAAAATCCTGGCTTGACTGAAACCAAAAGAAATTTTGATAAAGCCTTGCACTAAGGAATTGTATTTCAATCAGCCTGAGGTTTCCGCTCAGTGCTAAATTTTATTAATACATTAAAAGGAAAATACACCCACATACCCAACTGGAAAATTCAAGCTGGCTCAAATAATCTCACTGCAAATATGCTAATTCACATCAGCCAAAACTTTGTTCCTTTTACATGCTGATGTTACCCATCTTGAAAAGAACTAATTCTACAGATAAAGTGTCTTTCTTCTTACATAAATTAATGGCTATCTTTAATGTGTAATATTAATTAACTGCATACTAAAGCAGGTTGTAGAAGCAAAAACACAACATCCATAATTTGGTAGTAACAACAACTGGGAGGAAGGGAAGGAGAGAAGAGAAATGAAAACAGCAAGAGTGAGCTGAAAGTATTTCCTATTCAAAATATCCCAAAAACCTAACAGAGAAATAAGAATTTGCATGACATCTCACCTTTAAAAGTGTATACATGTTTAAAAAAAAATAAAAAAAAACAAAAAAACCCTACTACATAAGGGCTGACATATATTCTAACTAGTTGAATCAACCTCTTGACATTTAATACACTCGTGCGTGGCAGACTAGCTTTCAAAGCAAGAGAAAGGAGAAGGCACACAACGAAGGTCAGTGAAAGCCATTTTAAGCTTTTTCCTAAAATCTGTTGCTTTAGCAGAAGGGGGAGTAACCTGTCCTTCAATAAAGGGTAAATTGAATCAAACCATTTGCCTTCAGGAGATCTGAACAGGATAAGTGAGCCCAAGGATAAAGGGACAGAATAGGAGAGCCAGTCAGACAAAAATAAAAGTGTCAGGGAGGATGGTATCATGTATTTACAAAGGAGATGAATTTGGGTGGACACAGGAGGACAAGCTCTCCTCACTTTTCAACTGTTTACTACTTTTGCTGCCCGTCAGAAGGGATTCTTCGTTCAGGTTTCATTGCGAGACAATTGCTGCAGACAATTCCTCCACACCGCCTTGAAGATTCATCTCTGGATGTTAAGTATTTCCAAGTGCCAACCTGAATAAACCTCGACTTCATTTATTCAGAGTAATGACGACATCCAGTGGCCACCAAGTTAATCTCAGCCTACTACAGCAAGATAACCTCTTCTATCAGAATAGATAATCTCTTTCCATAAAGGTATGTATTAACTCCACTCTTCCACCTCGCAGTCTAAAAGCAGGAGTGCATTGCAAGGAATACTGTAATTATTGAGCGAGAGTCTTCCTATTCAGGTCCTCATACAAACTCTAACCTAGCCTTTTTCAGTTCTATCTCACATTGAAAAATTACAAATGAAAACCACAAAAACTCTTAAACACTTACATGGTAGTCATGGAAGAAACTGGAAAGCAGCAAAAATAAAAGTAAATCAAGAAAGGGAGCTGGGACACCTGCATACGCACACATACAAGCCGCTCAAGCTGTTAAAACTGCTTGCCACATCTACCAAACTTAGTCACACATACATGCTTTTAAAAGACATGGAAGAAACCACTTTTCAAAATGCTTCAAAACAAAACCCCAATGTTTCAGTTTTCCGCTTTTGTAAGGAACTCAGTCAAAATACTGAAATATAACACTTCAAGCATGCTTGTGTTCTTCCACAGACAACACCTGTTAAATACTTACTTGCCCAAATATTTCTGGCAGCCCCAAAACTTGACCAGTGAACACACCAATACAGATGAAAATTGCTGTGACCTGACCCAATGAACCACGGATTTCCTTAGGAGATATTTCACTCAAATACATGGGAAGAGCACTCAGAGAAATGCCTACAAAGGAAGGAAAAACCCTATATTAAGTCAAATCACCTCTTCATCATGCCAGGTATGAAACAAACATCTATTGAAAGGAGTCTGAGTGCTAACCTGTTCACAAGAGTGACATAAAAACATGCAGAGAATTCCACAGAGAATTCTATCCACAGATAATATGAATGATCTTCTCTGCATATCTAATTACTCTTGCACCATTTAATAACCATGGGATTGATTATCTGCTACAGATCTAGAGTGATGTGCGTAGGCTGCTATTAGATGAGAAGCACCAAAGGTTACTCAGAGATGAGAATCACCAGGAGAATGGATTTTATGTTCTAAATTTGCTCATCGCAAAGCAAGCAAAATCATGTTAGCAGTGGTGCAGGTAAGGAAAAAAACCCCAATGCGTCTGGCAGACAGAGCAGACACTGTCAGATGAAATATTTTTACTGTAAATGGTATTAGCAGATGTTCCTCTCAATATAAGCTTATAGCTGCAATGAACTCTTAACGGGAGGCATAAAAAAAAGGCAAGAATGCCGCTCAAAGACGGGAGAAAACAAATGCATGACCCTGGTTAGTACACTGACGATATTTACACAGCTCCAGAAGTTTGGTCGTTTGATGTAGTCTGAGACAAAAATTAACAGTCAGCACCAAAATTACTCATGAACTTCACATTGCAAGTGACAGACACATCCATTCTCAACCATAGCTTGCTCTTACTAACAACAGAGGCACAGTTTGCCAGAAAGAGGGCTTAGTGATGCAAAACTCAAAGCACTTTGTTTAATCATGTAATTACATTGAGAGTGTAAAACCATCTTAATTCATCAAGTCTGTCTCCACATGAGGTAAATATTCCTCACCATCCAGTGATCTATGAAGTTGCTGAGACCCTCACTGCTAGCTGCAAGATTATTCCAGTGCAGCAGTGCCTCCATGATTTACTTTTAAACCGGGAAGACCACGTTGGTAGGAGCAAATGAGGATGTACATGCATTCCACTTAATCCTACTGGTATTACCATGGGACCCAACAACTTCTAAGCAGCTTTAATAAAGAGACTACACCCTCCTAGCCAAAGGATCTTCATGGCATGAAGACAGATATGCTCTACAGGGCTGGAGGAGGAAAGGGGGAGGAACAACGAGGGTGGACAGCATTGCTTAGCATCCATTCCAGTGTCTTCTCCAAACATCAGATCCTCCAACCCTTAGTCTGCTGTCTTGTCCCAGCGAAACCAGTGTGACTAGTCCCTGAAATGCTTCTTTAATGTAAAGAAAGATCTAACTGGGTAAGAGGAGAAAGACTATTCATCACACAAATATTTCAGATATGTACAGTGCGATAAAAGCTTACCTGCATCAACACCCATTATAATGCGGCCCAGTATGAGCATTTCAAATGACCCCGCCAACAAGGAGAGGGACATCAACAATGCAGCTGTCACTGCAAACACATTATTGAGCAGCAACGTACACTTCCTAAAAGGAAAAGATATTTTATGTAGATACCGGTATCACGACAGTTAAATCTAGTTATACTCAAAGCACACTAGGCTATTATTCTGAAATATCCATAAATAAAAACAAAAAGTGCCTAACAAACACTGCCTCTTAGATGTTGTGTAGAGTTCCAAATTACAATACTATACACAAATAGATACAACTCCAAACCTATACCACAGCTTTAAAATAAAACATATCATAGTCAACTAAAGAGTTGTACTTGAAAGGCATGGCAATTAGCCACCCTACCCATCCTAAGAACCCAAATGCCATGCCCAAGACTCTGTATATGAATATAAACAAGCATACTCTGGGTAAATGTATGTATGTAGGAACCAGAGAAAATACTTCAAATAGCAATAAGCTGATATAACTACAGGCATTTTTATGCTACATGCCATTTTGAGAACTTCCCAATACTGACATATTTACATCATTATAATTCATCCTTAAATCCACGATATTAAAAAACTGCACTGAGGAAAACTACTTACTACTTGTAGAGTTAGAAAAAACACTTGGGCTCACACGAGCGATACAAATGAAGCCTTTTCCAAAAATTGCTGAAATTCACCAAAATACAGACTTACATATCTTTTTCTCCCAAATTTTAAATTATTTCCTTCTATAGTAGTCAAATAAAACACGGAAAAAAATATTTCTTTCAAAGAAAAGAAATATTCTTTATGAAAAAATGTTATTTTGTTAAAAAAATATAAACAAAATCACAAAAAATATATTTTAGAAATTTCAAAACATCTCAATTTCTCATTCACACTATACCAACAGCTGTATTTCTTACAGTTTTCCTCTTTCAGAACTTTCTGCTCAAGTTTGAGGGACTCATTAATTCAAAAGTGACTTGTAAGTCTCATAACTTCTGAAGAAGGAAATACTTTGCAAGAAATGATACACAGGACTTCAGAGGCCTTTGACAGTCAGATTCAAACACTTACATCCGAGGTCTCATTTTCTGAACACATGGAAGAAGAGAGGTTAAAGATATAAGATCAATACCTGTGCTGCAACGATTCTCTATTGAAAGATGAAGTAGCAAACCCGTCCAGATCTCAGAGAATCACTGCTGCCTTATAAACACCTCTCCACAAATGTGGATTTAAGCAGCTTTTTGCTAAATTACAGCCTGCAGGTGAATGGCTGAAGAAGCCATTATCATCAGGTTCAGCCTTGCAAGTAACTGAAAAGTTTCTTACGATTCCCAGGCAGAGTCCCAGGGACATCTGCTGGAGATGTGGTGGCCTCTTTACAGCACATCACAACAAGACAGCTCCTTTGCATTGCTTATGATCTAACACAAGACAAACCACCACAATTTTGCCAAGTACGTGGCAAGAGAATGATCCCCATGTTCTCCATCTGTGAGTCACCTCACTTAGCTATACATGGTAAAGCCATGGAGCTTTGTCTTTACCAGGTTTTTCAGTCACATCATTAAGCACAGTCTTGTTTTGGCTCTAGAGGTACAACTCAATACTGAAGCCTTCAATCCTACTTACAACATATGAAGGAAACAACTGATTTGAAATTAAATTTACCTGGAGATAAACATCACTGATGATATAAACGATGAGGAATCCATTAACTTTGACAGTAAATGACATGGGCTGAGAATACATCGATTTTAATTTTAAAATGAAGTGGTATTAAATTTTTAAGTATTCTCAATGGATTTTCAATCTCTCTATATTGAAATTTCCGTGCAAAAGAGGAATGACCAGAAAGGCTGTCTACCCTTTTTCAAAGCAGGTAACAAATGACCCAGCAGTCCTCATTCTTTTCAAGTTCAACACATAGGTGGTACCAACTGGAAATCTCCCACCCATTGAATAAGTCATCCAACTTCTTACAACAGATCAATATGTTTTTGATAGGAAATATTTTTAATACTTGTATTTTTAATACTTGTATTTTTAATTACTTCCTCCTTTCTAATGGTTTTTAAACACTGAATGAATAACATGGTTTGAAGATCAAAAACTGAGACATAGCTCATTTAAAGCATGTAACATAGCTGTAAAGAGTGATGATTTTACCAACTGAAACAGATTTTTCAAATGGATATAATTTGAGAGGGCTGCAGTGATGCCAAAAACGGAAACAAAATGTTCATTCAGATCAAACAAGTGCTATACATTCATCTGAAGATATTAATTTCCTCTTCTTTAATTTAAATAAAACCTACAAAATACATATCATTTTAGAAAAAAGTTGGCCAGCAACCCCTTATGCTATGCAGCAAAGAACAGAAAGGTGCAACCTAACTAACCAAGATAAAAACAAAGGATTTTGTCTTTGCCAGATTGAAAAAAAAAATAAAAACAAGAAAGTAACATGCTGTTTAGAGTGTTACTCTATAAAGCATGTAAATTTTTGGTACTGCGAACACTATGCTGGGTGTCTGTGGCAAGGTGTTGAAAGTGAAGGGGCTATAGGTGTGACTGTGAGGAGACGGAATGAGGGAGGAACAAGGTCAGTGGAGGAGAAGGTGCTCCAGGGCTGAGCAGGTACTTCCTCAGAGGGACATGGAGGATCCAGGCTGGAGCACCAAAGAGAGAGATGCAAGGAGCAGCAGAGAGAAGTGTCACTGCTCACTGACCCTGACCCACTGTGCTGCCCATTCTCTCACTGAAGGGACTGAGTATGACCTGCCGTGGTTCCAAGAGCGAGGAGAGGAGCCTGGAGTCATGTTCAGCCTGGGAGGGAAAGCAGGATGAAAGGTGTCCTGAAGTCTGTCTAGTTTCTCAATACCGGATAAATAATAAAATATTTATGCTAGCTGGCAATAAATTAAGTTAAATTCCCCAAGTTGAGTCTGTTTTGCCCATGACAGTAACTGGTGTTTTCCTTTCTTTAGTTTAACACATGAGTTTTCTCGCTCCTGTTCCTCCTATTTCTCCTCCATCCCACCGGGGGGGTGGGGAGTGAGGATCAGCTGGGTGGGTGCCTGGCTGCCAGCTGGGGCAAGCCACCAGAAACATATACAACAGGAACAATTTCTCATCATAGCTCGTAAGAAAAAAGATCAGCAAACCCCTCCGAACTTCCCATGCTGTCTGAGTTTACCTCCAGTCAGGTCATATTATATTCAAAATTACTACAATCATAAAAAACACCTATGCTTTCCTGGTCACACAGGCCAAAAGTATATCACCTTAGCAACAAGACACAAGAAAAAGAAACAAATCAAAATCCACTGCTTGTACAGCTCTAATCTAAGTGATATAAAGATACCACACCTCATAGAGCACCACAGCAGACACTTTCCTTTCAGAAAGTCCAACCAATCTTGTCAGATAGCTGTGCTCACCACACTTATCCCTATTTCTGTAACTGGGTAAACGGAGGAATAGATAGCTAAGTGGACTCAACCTAAAGCTAACATGCAAAACAGTGTGAAAGGGAATCTGGACTCAAGTTCCAGTCCAGAGCCTCACACGGCTCTGCTGCAGCTACTGCACTAAAATACTACGCTAGCATTCATTTAGATACAAAGATTTTTGTTCCTTCTATTCAAATAATTCATAACTCTCTCCAGACAGAAGAAATAAAGCATTTATACATTCCAAAAGAAAGATGCTTTCAAAAACTTCTGATTGAGCGGAGTATTTGTCACAAGCAGCTACATCCTAAGCCTAACAGTAAGTTTTGTAACTTAGTGCCAAAACTGTTTCTAAGACTGACTATCTACTGCTGCAGGAATGTAACTTCCTGTACTCAATCTGAAGTAGTCCTAAGAGAAGAGCCATTTGCTCAGTACAAATCAGTTTCTATAAGCATCCAAGCCAAGACAGACAGTTCACCCATCAGCTAGACACAAAGAGAGCTAAGCTTCACAGATTTTTTTCTGCCTTTTTTATTTTCAGTATTTTGGATATTGGAAACACTTGAGAATCTCTTCCTCAGAACTGTCCTTGGCTTTTTCCAAAATCACATAAGATTAACCTCTTGTGATTTCAATGTTGTCATTTGCTCTCATGATATTTGATAGGTCCAGAGGCCAGAAGAGAATCCTAGAGACTATGTGCCCTCCATGGCTGTGATAACTGAAATCCCTAATTAAAGTTAATAATCTTTTTAGCTAAAACTCACAACTAGGAAAATGGTAGAATTAAAGTTCTGTCTCAAGAGTGTATTGTTGTTTCAAAATTCAGTAATAAGAAAGACTCCACAAGCTCCACTCAGGAGCAGATATGATACCTTATACAAAACGTATAATAAGGAAACTAGGCGTTTAAATAACAAGATGCATGTTCTTTAAACTAGGTGTTTCAACAAAAGCCAGTAACAGACTGAATACTGGATCACCATTTCAACTACAGTAGATGACTTCAGAATAACGAAGTGATAGCATTACTAAGATAACCAGACAAATTCCCTTAATTGCTTCATACTCAAAACTGTTCACTGTGCTTTGAGGGAAGACCTTGTCCCTCTCCTGCAAATGCCTCCCTAGCAGTGGCCTAAGCAACATACCGAGCGTAACACTCTGGGTATTCAGGATACACAACAGCAGCTGCTCTTCGGCAGAAGGAAAGAATTTAAATGATGAAGTGTCAAAGCCACATGTGAACACGGGACTTACGCTCATCTGGATGTAGGCTCTCTTTGAAAAAATTACATCTCTCTTGAAGTAAGCAGGGCCTTAGAGTCTGGTAATTTGGAAATTATGTTATTAAACTTACAGCAATATGACTCAAGAGTGCTCTTTTTAAAGTCATACATTATTTCTGACTAATGCTTTTGATCCCTCTTAGTTCATTATTCTGTGTCAGTGCAAATGGAGCTCAGCTTCATCAGACATATAACCCTCCAACATACACCTGAACAATTTAACAGCGAAGTATTTTATTGTTCTGTTAATGTTTCATAATGTGCTCCTCAATTACCATACCGATATGTCAGTCTGGTTTCCTAGACCAGATGAACACACTGCAATCATAGAATCATAGAACAGTTTCAATTGGAAGAGACCTTCAAGATCATTGAGTCCAACCTTTGCCCTAGCTCTGTCAACCCCACTAAACCCTGTCCCTAAGTACAACAACCACACTGATGAGCAGCCTTTACCCTATGTCCCTGAGAGATGCAACCCCTTCCCATCTCTAATCAAGTACCTGTACACTATATCTGTAAGAGAGCTGTTTTCATGGTTTAACAGGGATAAACATAATAACCAGGGGCATAGTCTGCAAGATTTAAAGCTCTGCCATGAAAAGATGATCTGCTCCTATCAAAGTGGTATATACATGACTGAGATCAGCCATCACTTTAACAAACCTGCACACAAAGCTGTTCTACTCTTTACCAAAAATTCAGGCCTTCTATGAACCCATTCTTTACTTCGTTTCTTAATAAAATAAAGAAGACTCAGTCACAATTCTGGGAACTATGCAGTGTGAGTCAGGCACAGTTTCATATATTTAAGAAGGGTGTAAAGCCAAATTGATGATTTGGCAGAAGAAATTGCAAACCTAAAAAAACCAATGTGACTATGAAAAATATTTAAGAATTGAAAATCAAACAGTGATGTGAAGGGACAGAATACATTAAGGAAGAATGAATAACAGATTTACAGAGCAGAGAATACTGACTTGCTCTAAGCATGAAATGGAAGAACCTGAAAATGTACTCTTTGAGGTGAGAAATGGGATGTAGAAGAGTTGGGGGAATGACAAACAAGTCTATGAGAGTACAATCTAAAGTGATGGAAATAGCCAAAATGTAGAACAGAAAAGTAAGAATAGTGGAGGTGGATACTTATATTTAAGCCTCCATAATGACCTTCTCCAGTGATTTAACAAGCCAAAAATTATCAAATTATATAGAATTTACAATTAAGGAAAAGCTAAGTAAGCAGTTAAGATGAATGCTATAATGCCTTTTTTTTGCACACCCTTCTAAATATAAGTGAATTACAAATTACTTTTAAAATTCTCTTTGGAAGACTGTATGAAACAAAAATTTGACAGAACTATCTAGTTAGTACCTGCAGCAAAAATGCAAACACACAGCAGCACAAACATTCCTAAAATATTCATATTCCCTTATGGTCAAGAATTGATCAAATACAGCATCGTATAGAACAGGGAAGGTGTTCCCCAAGCTTGAGGAAGACCAAACACGAACTTCATCCTAGTTTAGTTCTTCAAACTGTATTTTAAGTCAACACAAGAAAGAAAAAAAAACACAGAGTAAATTTTTATTACCACATGACAACAAATTTTGTTGAGAAGCAAAGGAGATGTGTCGATAGCTTTATTTGTGTACAGTAAGATACTCAGCAGACTTGTGAAAACACTAATCTGACAACCCTTTGTGAAATCTTTCTTATTTTACGGTATTTTCTTTTTGCATTCTTAACAATTCAGCCTCCTTAACATCTCAACTTACTGTCCTTTCAGAGCAAATGGCTTCTGTGACTCAAATGATGCACAGTAAGGCCAGAGAAAAAGGTACTAATTTTACTCTTGGAAATTCAGAAATCTTAGGAATGAGCTTTTGTAAGATATTTGAGTTTGCATTCTGGGGACGAGGGGTTTAAAAAAAACCACAAGTAAAGCCTTCTAGAGAGACTAAGTGAGAAACTACTTTAGAAAATACAAGTTTTCCACTACACTTACCGTCCGAAGAACTTCACAATTGGGGTAACAATAATGGCACCCACAAGGCCACCAATGGCAAAAATAGAAACAGTTATGGACCAGAGGAGAGTCAGTGTGCCTTCATCCACTGAGAAGCCATATCTTCTTTCCCAAGTTTCATTGTAAAACTTCTTGATATACTGAAAGAAAACATAATAATAACAATACATGTAAAAAATCACACTTTAAGAACACAGCCAAGAGAAACAGAATAAAAAACACCCATAGCTTACTCGCAGGTATCACCCTTGCTCTTCTATCTCCCTCATCCAAAAAATGGGGCCTCACTTATAGATGCAATTGCAATACAGACTAACAGAACCAGTCAAAGCATACCTATGTTTAACTGCATGCTGGTCATAAACAAGGTGGGGAAAAAACCCACAGGTAGACATGAATGTAGAAGAGGCTTATAAAAGAGAAACTCCTACAAAGCAAGGATGCTACCATTTAGGTTGTTGGTACAGCATTAACAACAGTTTGTAGCCTTACTGAGTGCACATATATAGACATTTCAGCCTGACCTGGGGCGAAGGGCTCACTCAGACACAGAATCACAGCATGGTTGCAGCTGGAAGGACCTCTGGAGGCCATCTTGTCCACCCCCCTGCTCAAGCAGGGCCACCTAGAGCCATTTGCCCAGGACGACGCCTGGAGGTTTTTTACTATCTCCAAGGAGGGAGGCTCCACAAAATCACACCACCAGCACTTGACAAGGTACTGCACATCAGCTGAGCTCCGCTCACTGCTCACCTACATACTCTTAACCTCAGGCAGGTGACATATCACATCCTAGCGTAACAGTTTTTTGGACAAGCCAAAGAAAACTGCACTGTCTAGCATTTGCCATGACTTTTAAAGAAAGAACATGCACAAATTCTTAAATGCCAACTACCGTTAGTCAATGATCATTAATCAGTCTTACGTTAAGAGCGAATAGTTTTGCTGCTTTTTCATGGATCTATAGCGTCAATAACTGGGGGAAAGAGAGGGAAAGGAGGGAAAGGGGAAGGGAAAGGGGAAGGGAAAGGGGAAGGGAAAGGGGAAGGGAAAGGGGAAGGGAAAGGGGAAGGGAAAGGGGAAGGGAAAGGGGAAGGGAAAGGGGAAGGGAAAGGGGAAGGGAAAGGGGAAGGGAAAGGGGAAGGGAAAGGGGAAGGGAAAGGGGAAGGGAAAGGGGAAGGGAAAGGGGAAGGGAAAGGGGAAGGGAAAGGGGAAGGGAAAGGGGAAGGGAAAGGGGAAGGGAAAGGGGAAGGGAAAGGGGAAGGGAAAGGGGAAGGGAAAGGGGAAGGGAAAGGGGAAGGGAAAGGGGAAGGGAAAGGGGAAGGGAAAGGGGAAGGGAAAGGGGAAGGAGGCTCTAATAGCAGGTAGAGGCAAAAATGTCTGGAAGAAGTTGGTGAACTGGCAGAAATGCAAAGGTAATGAAAAGAAGGGAGCTGCAACCAATTCCTGCCAGACGGTAACACGACTGACATCAAGAGAAGAGTTTGGCTGGTCTTACAGGACACAGCACCAAAAGCCGTATGTTGATAGATTTGGGGTGGGGGTGGGTTCACACGTGACTTAGGAAGTTCCCTTCAAAATTTTTAAAGATACTTTAAAAGTTACAGAAGTAGGAATCCTTTTGGCAAAACCCACACTGTGCTCACCACAAAACAACATTTAGAATCTCTATTTCGTATTTCAGTCCCAGAAGGCAGATGTCGCGTTAGCTCAAAATTAAGAGCCTTTCAGTAGTCTATTTTTTCCAAAGGGACAGTATTGTAAAAGTGAGTGATTCTACAAATTCTTTAGCATAACACTAGAAAAAAAAAAAAGATACGAGTGAACTGAAAACAATTAGCATTCATGGACTAATGGAAGAAGGGAGGCTGTGTCCACTTTTGCATTGTATTTATGACACTGCCACATCTGGCAGCCATACAAAATCAAGGACCAACTAAGCCAAGCAATGAAGATAACATTTTTCTCCCAAAGAATTTACAGCCAAGACAAATAACTGTTAGAGGAGGAAGGCAAGAGTTGACAGATGTTGGTTTGATACTAACGGGGAGAAAAAAAGCCCACATTATCAGTTAAAAAGAGCTAGTTGTCTGACATTGTTAAAATTAAGAATCTCAAATCACTTTTATAAGTATGTTCTCCCCTTCAAATTTACATAAGCTGCTTTTTGAATGAACTTCAGGTTGCTAAACAAGGTAATTTCTTTTCAGTAATGAAAGATGTATCAACCATGAAATCAGACCCCTATGATCCTGATACGAATCTATCTGCCAGACAAACTGGTTCTCTTAAGAAATTAAAATCTGAGACCTATCTTCTAACTCTTCAGCTATCCCGAGACCTACACTTTTCTCCCATGACAGCTTAATTTTCTTAAAAGCCTCCCATAACGGCCTTTCCAGGGTATCTTTTGAAAGTCCAAGCACCTCTTGAATCTCTGGAGAACTCTGACAGATGCCTGAGTCATGGTTCTGCTTTGCAAAAAAAATGCCAGCTCTTCCCCAAATTCTCACTTTTCTACTACAGTTTCTGCTAGTCTGTGAGGTACAAATAACTAATTCTTAGCATGTATGTTCCAAGTTTTGTCCCTAAACCCCACTTTTTTCACATTAACCCTCTCAGTCTCTCTGTTACTGAGGCTATTTAAAAAGAAGCTGAATTGTGATACGAAGCCTGTATTTTGAGTTATTTTTTCAGTCTTGAACAAATGTTAATTTGGCAACGTGACACAAAATTATCACTAATTTTATTCCATACGTCTACTAACATTTCAGCTTCTCTATTACAACTCCTATAAAGAAGGTTCCAGTGTGGGACCTCCCAGACTTTTCCAATTCAAAACATTAATTCAGGTTTCTTGTTCTGTTCTGTCATTTCTGAACACCCTTTTCCACCTTCATCTATCAGCCTTATCCCCAAGCCCTCTGCCTGGACATCTTTTGTGCCTGCTGAAAGCACCCAAGCTCCAGGACCAGCTCCCTTTTTTAGCCTTCATTGTGCCAGTTTATGTTATTTTTCTGCTTTCCTCATATGAGCACAACTGCAGATTTTTGAAGGACGCATTCTAACAACTTCCCTTCCTTGATGTTTAATCACACTGAAGTTTCTTTATCTTTCTAAAAGATAAAGATGTCATAGCTCCAGTATGATATTTTTACATAGTCTCTGTATCACCTGCAGAGATATCATCTATTTACTCTCTTTTTAGTCAAGCTTCCTCATTTTTATGCTGTTCCCATTTCGAAGCCAAGCAAAGCTCCAATTCCCCTGTGGTGTCTGATGCTCTGGTGAAGATACAGTACCAGGCGGTCACTACTGCAGAAGGGCACAGGACGCTCTCACCCATTCCGTGTCACCGCTCCCCGACAAGCTCTACAGTATCACAAACTTCAATCTTCGCACTTTTCCCCTGTTTATTCTCAGACTTCCTCCAGCATGTCATAGGTACTAAATTATCCTTGGACTGGACTCAGCAGCATAAGTATAACACCACATTTTCCCTGTTCGTACTAGGAATTTCAGACTTGAGGTATTCCAGCCTTGGACACGTGGACTACTTTATCTGAGGACTTTATTTAGTTTGAAACACCACCTCTCCACCTGCAAATTACCTAAGAAAAGTGGAGGTAGAATGTACCACTTACTGTCTTCCTTCTATCAAGTTTCTAGTGCCCTGAATGAATACTTTTCTCATCCTATCTTACATGTTTCTATATAGACAGAAAAAAACCCACCATAAAAAAGAAAAAAAAAGTCAATTTGGTGTTTGGTCCATTTAGAAGAATCTCACAGTAAACCTTCAAGTGAATTTGCCATTAAATCAAGTAATACACCTTATCTCTTTAACATCAATACTCAGATTATATTTAGATTAGTTATGTTCTTGTTTATTTGAAGTGCATTTCTGATAGTAATCAATACTAAGAAAAAACATTTTTAGAACACTATCAGCATTTCTTGCTAATGATAATGGCTAAAAATAGTATGCCATTTCTCCCCTTGTGTTATGACTAATTTTCTCAGCACAGCTTTGTTATTTACCAGGAGATATCAAATAACGACAAATATTCAAGAAAAGAAAGTACTAACTACATCACTCAACAGTAACAGATAAATGTGCTGCCATGTACGTTACCTGTGTCTGGATTCCCGTTGCTGATAAACGGGGAGCTAATAAACACATACAGGTTTTGAGGAGTTACACATGAAACAAAACAAATCTGATCCAACAAATCCACTGGATTTAAATCCACTGAATTCTGTAGAAAGGTTCCTTTGGGATTTTAATCAGCTGTCTGAACAACGGTAATGGCATAAACCTGCACAGAAAAACTTCAGCCCTAACTAAAGCCTATATGAAATGGTTGCTGACTGATATCAGTAACTCATATTCTGCTGCCTCAGTTCATTAAGGCAGTAGTGATAGGGTGGGAAATATAAGGGATATATATATATATAATTTTATATATATATATGGGATGGGAAATACAACGGATTTTTAAAAGTAAGGGAAATATTTTCCTTGTCTCTTTAACTGTAAACAACTTACATCAAGGGAAGAGATGAGCTGGTCTTTAGAGAAGAAAAATGAACTTACCCATAGTTACAAAGGCCACTTACACACAGTGACAACTATTGAACCGGCTGACACAGCAGGCTATACATTTTTGCAATAGTCTCACTTTCCCGGAATCAGCTCTAAAAGGAATGCAGAGCTGCAACTGCCCGCAGGGAGGGGGCAAGTGCTGCCCCCCACTAAGTAGCAGAGACTTTGCTCGCCGACAAAGCACATCATTGTTCTGCAGACCTGGCCCAGAATCGGTCCACAAAATAAATTGTAGAACTCAGGTCAGAAAAAGACAGCTTCAACTTGTATTCAATTAAAGCATTTGTCTTCGTACTGCCAAATGCTCCCACATGTTTTTAATAAATTCTGGTAACTCTTTCAACAAGCCCATGGAAACTTCTAATTCTGGGTTTCTCATGTGGTCAAGTGTTGTGTGCAGGGAGAAAGCACACCTGGGATGGGCCACTGTTCTTTCCCACAGAAAGGTAGGGGACTGAGTAGGAAGTGATCTCTGCTCTGAGCACACATGGGGCAGTTTATGCCCCTCTTGCAAAAAAAATGAAGTTGGACTGACTCTACCTTATGAGGTGACTTGCAGTAAAGTTCACCAGTGAGAGCTGCAGGGGTATTCCCCTAGGGTTTGATGAGCTGGCACAGCTTGCAGCACCGAAGGGAAATGTACACAAGAATTTACAAACAGTTCTTCAACGCTTCAGTCTTAAACAAACTTCCCCCCGCCCAGCTCAGTCATCGTGATGTGTTCAGTTCCAGGATCTTAGAAACATCCCATGTTCTAGTCAACAGTAATTTTTTTTCAACACCTCTCAAAGCATCGTACAGTCCTTCTCTAAGGTTGGAGGATTTTAGACATCAAAAGGAATTGTACTAAAGTCAACAGGGGCAGAAGATACCCAACAGCCTACGGAGAGATGCTCATACAATGCAGGCTGTAAGCTGCATGTCACCAGAACGTTATTTGTTCTACCAAGTTTATAAATGAAATTCAGCTTACAACTTTTAGGAATGACTGCACTTCCAATATAAACTCTTACAAGGTTATCTACAGCTGCTCCCCTTTGGTTTTCCTCAGTCACCTCACATCAACATTCCCAAAGGGTCACCTTGCAGCAGACTGATTTGGTGACACAGGGAAAACAGATGGGGCAAAGGTGCCTTTTCCTGTGCTGCAAGAAGCACAGCTTTGGTACGGCTTGCTTCCTTCCCCCGGCTATGAGCAGAGCCCAGACTCTTCCCTTCAACCTGGTCACTGCAGCTCCAGGAACAGGGACAGGAAGGCAACCTGTCTTAGGCAAACGGATGACAGATTAATCCTGGGGCTAGAGAGAGGACCACAGGCCACATTGGTATTTTATTCTTGAACTACACAGCTATGTATTCCTTTTCAGTAGGACTATTCCTTAGCCCTAGCTAATGTATGGCTTAACATGAGAAAGAAAGACACGGAATTCTCTATCACTGAAACACCGCGCTGCAAAAAGGGAGACTTCATGCATACCAAAGCCATCAGCATGGTGCCCAGTGTCAGTCCAAAAGCAACAGTAAAGCAAAAATAGACAATCCTGGAAGCGTCACTAACCACAGCACCTGGAAGTTAGCATTTGTCACGGTATGGTTGCACCTTCAACCTCCCCACCTGCACTCTGGTCACCACTATAATCTATTCCATGGTTCAAACCTAGCCCTCTGAGTGTTGTCAAAGAGCACGTCCTATTATCCTTGCTCTCCTTCACTCCTGCAGAAAGTGACAGGAGAGCTTTGATTGCCAGGACAGCCCATTTTTTAAACGGTGCTTAAAATTTTAGAAATTGGATCATTCTCACTGCTCTGTTGACAGTACTGAGGCAGTGCAGGAAGGACATCTACCATCAGGACAATCAATACTTTTGCTCACAGAATTTCAGCTTCCT